TTTGGCATTACATAAATTAACTTTATCAGCTACCCGTCGAAACAAGGTTCTCTGAACTATATTTTGGAACTAAGCCAGATGACTTCTAATCAACATGACTAGATCCTAATAAAATATAATTCTAAATATAGAAACCCCTTTAAAGGTGCTAACCTGATGCTCCAAAAATGACGGATGTCACATAAACATAGATAAGGGCCTAAGATTGATGGTAGCACCTAAATCACACATGGCTTTACCAACATGTTTCTAACCTATTGAACAAGGAATTGCGAAACTTCTAGGGTCTTTAAGCTTAGGGAGAAGTTTGTTTGAAACGGGGGCACTACATCCTTCAGTAAGGGCCACAGTCTCATATTTAGTCAATTTCTTTTTTATTTTACTCAAGATATCCTTCAGAAATTTGGCATAGCTGGCATAGTCTCAATTGCCTCCACTAATGGAATATTGATGTGTAATTGTTTAAATATATCCAAGAACTTTTTGAACTAAACTTCCTCCTTCTGGTTTCTTAACCTCTGAGGATAAGGAACATAAGCTGTAACTGGGCTAATCACTAGTTTCTTAGGATTTTGGATAGTAGGCATGGTAGGTGCACTATCTGCTAGTTTGGATTATGGTGTATCAACATGGTCTTTGGGTGGTGGACCTCTGACAACACTCTCAGGACCTGGATTTGTGATTGTTGGTTCTGTTTCACTCGAGAAAAAAATGGCAAATCAGATCTTCTTGGTATGGGTGTAGATCTTTGGTTTTCTACAGTTTTAGAAACAACAGGAAGGGTTGCTACAGCAACAGGTGGTATTGTTGTAGCAATTGGTTCTGTTTCTTCAGTGGCTTTTTCTGGAATTTCTACTTGATCTTTTCCACTCCTTAAGGTTACAATTTTCACATGCTCTTTGGTCAGTATCATAGGGTTCTCAATATCACTGGGTAAAGTTCCAACAGGCATGTTCCTCAACTCTAGTGCTATTTGGCCAATCTGTGTTTCCAAAGTCCTAATGTTAGCATTTTGGTGATTCATAGCTTAGTTGGCCTGATTTATAAAACCTTTTAACAAAGCTTCCAAAGAATTGAATGAATCACATTGCTGGTTTGGCTTGTTTTGAAAATGAGACTGATGCTGAAAATGTGCAGGTTGATTTTGAGAAACATTTGATTGAAAACCTTGCCATTGCTCTTTTACAACTGGTGGGTTCAAACATAGACTGTTCCAAAAGAAATTAGGATGGTTTTTCCAATTGGAGTTGTAGGTGTTTGAAAATTAGGCAAGTTTGTTGTGCACAAAGTTCACAAATACAGAGTTAAGGCTGTATTGGTCAAAAGTATGACCTTCACCACAATACACACATTGGACAGGCAAGGATTCAGAAACAGCTACAGTGGCAACAATATTAGCAGCATGGACAACTAACTTTTTCAACAAGATAGTCATGGAAATTAGTTGTGCAGTAAGAGTAGTATAAAGATCTATTTCATGAATGCTTGTTGTCTTTCTGGGTGTTATTGCTCTTGGATCTGCCAGTGACCATTGTTGTTAGAAATTTTCTCCAAAATATTACAACCATCAATATAGGTACTGGAAGTAAAGGCTCCACCTACGGTAGCATCTAGCATTTGTTTAGCAGTGGTATCAAGAGCATTGTAAAATGTTTCTAGCTAAATGCAGTAGGGTATTGCCATGATGTGGGCATTTCCTTAGTAATTCCTTGTACCTTTCCCAAGCATTAGGAACTACTTCATCATCTATTTGTCTAAAGTGAAAATTTTCATTTCTGAACTTGGTACTCCTGGTTGGGGGGAATATTTTTTAAAGAACTTTTCAGTCATCTCATTTCATGTGGTGACTAAGTATGGTTGCAAAGAAGTGTACCACACTTTGGATTTGTCTCTTAATGAAAAAGGAAATAACTTCAACCTTAAGGCTTCATCAAAAAATTCCATTAAGATGGAATGAGTCAGTGACTTCCATAAAAGATCTAAGATGCAAATAAGGATCCTTAGATGGTAATCCTACATATTGACCATTTGTTTGTAACATGTAAAACATGATGGGCTTAAATTCAAAGTGGTCACCATCAATAGTGGGCCTACGTATTACAAGATGTAATTAATTTAACATTGGAATAGTGTAGTCCATAATGCCACTAGTCCTTGAATTTGCAAGCCTAATTGTTAGACCCCATAAGTCTTATGTATGGAAGTAATGAAGACAAACAAGTGATGAAGAACTAGAAGGCTGATGGAAGACTTCATGGAAAAATGGCTAAGTCTGAAGAACAACCAGAGGGTCGATGAACTGACCAGAGATGTGATGAAAAGTGCATCTTCATAACCCCTCCGGGTACCAACACTTGGAGTTTTCCTCACTAGTTCAACCACAGGCATGTGATGCAGATATGAAGATAAGGTTGAAATAACGACCCATGGAAGACAGCTGGAGATGACCAATCAATAGCTGGATTCTACAAAGTTTATCTTTTTTAGTGATTATCGATGTTTAGATAAGCTTTATGTGTTCTTAGAAGATTAGCTAAATAATCTCATTAGATAGTTATCTTCTTAGCCAGATTACTAGTACAAATAGGTGGTTAGGCCTATTGTAATCTTTGACTATTTTACGTTTTTCACAATCATTGAAATAAAGTGAAACCTTTGACCCTCAAGTATATTCTTTGAATGTTCATCAATTGTTCTTGAGTGTTCATCATTTTATTCATCCAAACACTATAATTAGGTTATTCTTAACTTAATCATTAGTGTTATTGAGAGATCTGGGATCAACAATTGGTATCAGAGCAAACTGATTGTTTTTCCAATCAAAACGATCATTAAAATCTCTCAATTCGCATTTTTCATTCATAAAAATTCATAAAATATCTTCTCTAAAACGTAAAGTTTTCTCTTCCAAATCTTAAATGGCCAACTGGAATTCCGCTTACAGTGTTGGTTCCCTCACTAAACCTCCAACTCTTCAAAGAGAAGAGTATCCACAAAGGAGGATACGGATGGTAAACTTTCTGGAAGGGATGGACAGAAATATTCTGCGATTTGTGATGGAGGGTCCCTACGTTCCACCGAATCTTGTTCCAAGTGTCCCAGGAACAAACACCACAGCAGAAATTCCTGCCTATTACATGCCCAAGGATGAAAAGAATTGGGATGAAGATGATATAGAGCGTGTAGAGACTGACAAGAAGGCCAAAAGACTAATCATCATGGCCATTCCCAATGAAATCTTCCAATCCCTTGATGCATGTTCCACAGCAAAGAAACTATGGGATGAGCTGGCAAGCCAATTAGAAGGAGGAGCAAAAATGAAGAAGAATCGTAGAGCCCAATGTCGCAACGAATATACCAACTTCAAGGCTCTTCCTGATGAACCGATTCAGAAGACATACGATCGTTTCAACATATTGATCAATCAACGTTGTCAAAACGATATCTGTAGAATGAAGGAAGAAAATAATGTTTTGCTCCTTAAAAGTCTCGGCGATTAATGGACACAGCTGTCGATGTCCCTTCAAGCAAATCAGGACTTAGACGTCTGGTCACTTCACGACGTATATGGAACGCTTGATGCACAAGATAACAATATCATGAAGAAGAAAGTGTCCATTGGTGGACCCCTTGCTCTTGCTGCTAAAGAAAATGATGTTTCAAGGACCTCCACCAGAGACCACAAGAAGAAAGGAAAGAAAGCATTGGTAGCAGAATCAGAATCTGAGGACGAGACATTCGAATCAGATGATGATATCAAAGCCTTTGTTAAATCTCTGGCCTTTATCACAAAACAGTTCCAGAGGAAGTTCATCAAAAGGCCCTATGAACGAAGAGAATTCAAAAGGGAGAAGTACCAGCCATCCTATGAAAAGAAGCCATCAAAATTCTATCAGAGGGAAGACAGAAGAGATGGAAGAGAAGAGAGAGAAGATATAAGAGAAGATAGAAGAGAGGAGAAGAAAGAAGACAGAGACGGAAGGAAAAATGACCTTCGCAGCTTTAGGTGCGGAAAAATCGATCATTTTTCCGAAGAGTGCAGAGGACGACTGGTAAAGGATGTTGATTACTACAAGAATTAATATAAATACAATCCAAGAGATTGAAGCCTGATGGCCGAAAAAGAAAATTGGGTGTCTGATTCTTCATCGGATGAAGAAGATAAAGCATTCATCTGTCTGATGGCCACGTCCAATGCAGAATCCGCCTCTGACTCTGATGATCAGGTATGTGAGTCTTCTTTCGATGAAACCAATTCTGCTCCATCTGAGCTAGAGTTAAGGTTAATAAAACTTTCAGAGGACTTCTTGAAACTAAAAGAAAATTTAAATTTCTAAAAATCTAAAAGACTAAAAGCAGAAAAAGAAGTCAGTTTCTACAAAAGAGAGATTGATCTTCTAACCGAAGAAAAAGCCGAACTCGTCAAGGAAAAGACTCGCATCGCCACTCTTAAGAAATCAGAGGAAGAAAAACTTCTGGAATTAAACAAGTGAATAACCAAAGACTTAGAAAAGAAAGCTAAGGCCTTAAAAAATCTGATGCAGAGAGACTTAACTCAGTAACTCTCAAAGATTTCTTTCAAAAAGAAAGGGAGGTTCTTCACCAGAAGCTTCAAACCAATGAACTTCTGATGAAGAAATACAGGGATGTCCAAAATGTGTACGAAAAGTTAAACGGTCAAACGGACACTCAAGGAATTGGATTCAGTGAATTGGACTCCTTCATCGAAACAAAGAAATCCACCCTTGAATCCACTTTCAAACTTGGATGCATTCAAAAACCTGACTTTTTCCCGAAACCTAAAGCAAATTTTAAAAGAGTTAAAGTCGATGAAAAACTGTCGTTTTAAGACAATATTTTGAAAACGTGGTGTACAAGAGCAGTACATGTAAGAATTCTGAGGAAAGGAACGACAACTCCAAATCAGAGACCGATGGAAACCCTATGGTTAAATCAGAGTCTATGGTTGTCAATTCCACTTCATCAGCAAGTACTATTGATGAAAAGGAGAATCTTAGTAAGGAACCATCAGCTGATGAATTGATGAAGCATCCAAGTAAGATTGGAAGTTCTTCTAAGACAGAAACGATGGAACCCCCAACAGATCACTTCTGAAACATCAACCTCTGAACCCACACCTCCCACAAACATCCATGACAATTTTGATTTCGAGAAATCAGCGAAAGACTTTCTTGATTCTGAATCCGAAGAAGAGATAGTCTGTGAATCACCAAAGATCATTGAGGATAAGAAGGCTCAAAACTTCAAACCCTCAATAAAATCTGATGTTCCACCATCGATGAAATCTTCAGACAAAGGAAAGGAAAAATTAAGCAATATCAAACTTGCTAGGACAGGATTTTCATCCCCTACATTTATTTCTTCATTTTTATCGAATAAAAAGAACGTTAGACATTCATATCCAAAGAATCATAATTGTCAATGTTTCGCCCTTTTACAAAACCTGAGGAACCACATGTTGACACATCGCTGCATATTCTCCAAACACGTCTATCGCTATAAAGTTAAAACCAATGAAAACGTGAAAAAGGCCAAGTCTAAGGGCAAGAGAAATGCAAACAAACCCAAGCCTGCAAAGGCTAAGGGTGATGAAAAGAGAGAGGTATCTCCGACTAACAAACGTGGACCCATTATGAAATGGGTACCTAAAACCCCTTAATTTGTCTTGCAGGACCAGCATGTGCAACTATGGTATATGGATTCAGGTTGCTCCAGGCACATGACTGGTGACAAAAGTCAGCTGTCCTCCTTCATCGAGAAAAATGGAGGCTCTGTGACCTTTGAAGACAACAACAAGGGTACCATCAAGGGATACGACACTCTCGTAAAAGGCAACATCTCCATCAGCAAAGTGGCTTATGTTGGAGGCTTGAAGCACAACTTACTAAGCATAAGCCAGTTCTGCGACAAGGGTCTTCAAGTCAAATTCCGCAAGGGTTTCTGCATCATAGAAACACAGCCCGGCCAAACCATCATCAAGGCAAAGAGAKAAGGAAATCTCTATCTTCTGGACTTTCAATCCTCTATGGGATAAGACACCCTCTGCCTTGTATCCCATAAGAGCGATGAAAATTGGCTATGGCGTCAAAAGTTCTCACATCTCAACTTTGATGTTCTAAAGAAGCTAGCCAAACAGAAGCTGGTCAAGGAGATTCGGACCTCAATTTCGAAAAAGACCATCTATGCTCAGCCTGCAAGATGGAAAGCTGAAACGGGCCTCTCATAAAACTAAGTCAGAAACCTCCTGCACCAAGCCTTTGTATATGATCCACATTGATTTATGTGGGCCCATATCTACCCAATGCCTCACTGGAAAGAAGTACATATTAGTACTAGTTGATGAATACTCCAGATACACCTAGGTTGAGTTTGTAAAGAAGAAATCAGATGTTCCTGACCTACTCATTGGGGTAACGAAAAGGCTCCAAGTCCTTCTACAACGAAAACTCATAAAAGTTAGAAGCAACAATGGAACTGAATTAAAAAATGCCAGAATCGATGAATACCTCTTCAGTGAAGGCATTTCACAAAACTTTTCAGCAGCCAGAACTCCACAATAGAATGGAGTGGTGGAGCGAAGGAACAGAACCCTCGTGGAAGCAACAAGGACCTTGCTTGCTTTATCGGAGTTCCCCATCACCTTCTGGGCTGAAGCTATTTCTACTGCTTGCTTCACCCATAATCGGTCCATCATTAACAAGAGGCACCAGAAGACACCCTATGAGCTCATCAATCAAAGAAGACCAAATGTCAAGTATTTCC